TTTTTAATAGTCTTAACATTAAAATGTGAATGATTGGAAAGAGAATAGGAAACAAAATTCAAATATTTCAACTAATATTTTAGGGAATCTAATAATTGCAAATTTTGGTAGCTTTAACATTTTTTGCAGTATGTTTTCATATCTTTGACTTTCATGGTCAAATGAGTGATAAGTAGAAGGTCACCACAAAGCTAAGATACCAAACCCCAAATCCTAAACTCTACAGAGAGAGATAAAGTCCAACTGGGATTCAAGGTTTTGTGTGTTAGTGTGTTTTGGTGTATTCGTGTGAGTTTTTTGGTGTATTAGTGTGTGTTTTGTTGTATTAGTACATGTGTGTCTTTGGTGTATTAGTATTCCTGTGTGTATATTATTGGTGAATTTTATATTTGTGTGTTTTTAAGTATATTATAGTGTGTGTTTAAGTGTTTTGTTGTATTAGTGTGTATGTATTTTTAATGTATAAATATATATGTTTTGATGTATTTGCATATTTGTGTATGTTTATTTTAGTGTATTAGTATTTGTGGGCTTAGTGCAACTGTAAAGTTGTTTCATTATGACCTGGAGGTCACTAGTTCGAGTTGTGGAAATAGTCCCTCTACTTGCTGAGGCAAGATTGTGCTGAGGCAAGATTGTGTACATCTAACCCTTCTCAGACTCTGCAATGACGGGACTTTCGTGCATTGGGTATGCTTTTTAGTCTGTGTTTTTAGTGTATCAGTTGATTGTTTTTTTTTTTTTTGGGGTGGTGGTGTATTGGTATATTAGTGTATGTGTTTGTTTTAGTGTATAGGCCAATATTTTTGTTGTGTTAGTGTGTGTGTTTTGGTGTATTCTTGTGCGTATGTGTAGTTTGGTTTATTAGTATATATGTGTGTTTTTTGGTGTATTGGTGTATGTTTGTGTGTGTGCTTGTGTGTTTTAGCTTATTAGTATATGTATTTTTGTGTATTTGTTTGTTTCGATATGTTAGTGTGCATTTTTGTGTGCCTTTGTGTTTTGTTTCGGTGTATTAGAGTGTGTATGGTTGTGTGTGTGTGGTGTATTAGTGTGTGTTTGTTTATTGTGTATTTTTTTAGTGTATTATTGTGGGTGTGTTTTGAGCATTAGTGTGTGTGTTTTGATGTATTACTGTGTATATTTTTGTGTATTTTAGTATTTGTGTGTGTTTTGGTATGTTGAGTTTACATTTTTGTTTATTTTTTCGCGTGTGTGCATTTTTTTTTTGTGATTTAGAACTTTTGGTGTATTAGTGTGTATTTTTTGGTGTATTTTTGTGTTAGTTTGTATTTTTTTTATATATTGATCACCTAAAAAATGGAAACGTTGTGGTTTTGAAAATATAATAAAAACGAATAAAAAATTTAGGAATTTATTTTAAAAACATTTCAAAACATTGGTTTAAATATATTTAAACAAATCAAAATATTCCGAAACATTAGTGGGAACATGCTTAAACAACTCGAAACATTAGAATTTTGATTTAATTCACTGATTCATTTTGGTATCCTTAGAAAAGAAAACGTTCGACCATTTCGAAACAATATTTTGATCCTTGGTAGAAGTACGTGTTTTGGTGTAATAGTTTTTTTTTTTTTTTGTGTGTATTAGTGTGTGCTTTTTATGATTTGCTTGTTTTTAGGATGGAAGGCAATGGAATTTTTTTTGTCTAATCATGCCTAGAGATGTTAATAACCACTGCAGATAGGAGTATTGAGATAGCAGGAGAGCACACAAAATACAAGAAATCAGGACTATCTTAGTCAGTAGCCTTCTCATTTTCAAAATTTTCAAAATTTTCAAGGTTAGTTAGCAGCCTTCCCTTCCTTGCATTTCTTTGGGCATTCAGCTATCCAATGCTGCACATTGTAACAGGCCTCTATCTGGAGCAATCCTTTTAATTGAGGGGTTAAGTTTCGTCCTACTTGTTTTTCTGTGGAGTGGGTCTAATGGTGGTCTCTGCCATCTGAGAGCGTTATACCATCAAACTGGACAACAGCCTTGAAATGGATTAGAGGCTCTCCGTTAATGTGGTAGCATCAGAAGTGTGCATATCTTGATGATCCTTTTGAACAACCTTTTTTCATTTGATGTTAAAAAGATGCCCTCATTTCAAATGGTGACTATTGGTGTATGGCATATGATAATGTGAACCTTTCTCTCTGTTCTTTCCTTGTTTTCTGTTGGCTTAGCCTTTGATCAATCCTAATTTATCTAGATCTAGAGGACGGAGGTCATGGGAATGAATTTCTTCTTCTTTTGGTCATATTCTATACACTCAGAATGATAACCTGGGTTAATTGAAAACTAAATGCTAGTTTGGATTGGGTTAATTGCACACATCTAATGTTTGGATTTATTACTTTGGTTGCAATATATGCTTTGTAGCACAGAAACACACTCTTAGTTTCTGTGATTCTGACGTCCAGAAAGAAGCATTTAGCGCCTCAATTCTGTAAGTTCTCTCTCTCTCTCTCTCTCTCTCTCTCTATCTATCTATCTATCTATACACATAATTTTGTAAGTTCCATTTCGTTGTCTCTCTCATATTTTGCTGTTTATCTCCTGTGTGTTACTTGTTCTTATTTTTTTGTTTTATAACATCTTTGTTCAATGGTCAATCAACTTTGTTTAGTCAGATTTTTCCTTGTAGTTGTGTGTACTTGAGTCAACTTGATTACCTCTTTTCTTGATAAATCGTTAGCAATATTTAACTCAACCAATCTTTCTTTTAAGTCATTCAATTATCACGTCCGTTCAACTATTATTTTGGGTCACATCGTTCTTTCATTTCTTGAAGTTATAGTTGTTTCAAGACTAATGTTGTTGTGCAAAGTCTGAATGCTGTTCAATAGGAGAGTTTTGGCTCGCTCAAACTTGTGCATGGAATTAAAGTTAAAAGTTCTAATTGTGGCACGCATGAGTTAGTTTTTATTACATAAGATCATGCACGAATTATTTCAGTTGCATTCCTTCTCTACTCTTGGATATTGGGATTTAACATGATGCAGAATCAATTTTTTGCTAGCTTAGAAACCCCTTCCCTCTCTTTCTGCGTTGCTGTCTTCTATCTATGTAGACATAATTGGTAACTCAGAGAGCGAGAGAGTGAGTTTCAGTTTCCATTCAGTTGCCAATATGCTGCAACATTCAGGTAGGAAGGCAAATGATTCTTTTCATAATTACTCGTATCTTTGATGAGAAAAAATATTTTCAAATCCGTAAGTGATTCATGTAATCAAATAATTTGATTGTCTTGTTTGATCTCTTCAAATACAGTTTAGATGCTTTCTTGAAACAAAGATCAAACTGAAGGCTGGAATATGTTCTCATCTGTAATCGGAAGGAATGATAGAGACCATTTTTTGTTTGTTAGCCGAAATTCAATCTACAACTTGAAATGACATTGTTTGGGCTTTCAAATCTGTAAGTTCTCTCTCTCTCTCTCTCTGTCTCATAATTTTGCAAGTTCCCTTTCTCTGTCTCTCATATTTTTGTGTTTATCTCCTTTGCGTTTTACTTGTTCTTCTTTTGTTATATGACATCTTTGCTCAATGCTCAATCAACTTTGTTTGGGCAGATTTTTTCTCGTAGTTGTGTGTACTCGAGTCAACTTGATTACCTCTTTTGTTCTTGATTAAACTCGATCTTTATTTTAAGTCATTCAATTAGCATATCTGTTCAACTAACTTTTTTGGTAACTTCGTTTTTTCGTTTCTTGAAGTTATAATTGTTTCAAGACTAATGTTGTGTAAAATCTAAATGTTGTTCAATAGGAGAGTATTTTGGTCCACTCTCGAGTGGTTGCGTTGCATATTGGAAAATTAAAATGTTCAATATACTCACTTTGATGCTACCACTTTTATCGATAAGCAATATCAATTATTTTCTATCGTTGTCCTCTGGATATTCGTATAAGTATGTGATTTTTCTTTTTTTATTTCTATTTGTTTAAATGATTGCTGTCCAATTTCACATACACAAAGAAAGCGGTTGTAGATACTAAATTTGATCTTGCGAAATAGGGAAATGCTTTGATATTTGACCATTTACGTTCACAATTTTGACCATGCCCAGTTTTTTCTTCATTTCACTATTCTAATCTATTGAATTTTTGGCAGATTTCTAAGAATTAATTTGCCTGCTGTAGGTCATCCAATAGCAGTTGCATTTGTTGACGCCACATCTTCTGTAGTTGTGGCTTCCCAAGCTCTTTATGGTTCTTCTTTATACATGTATGGAGAAGAAAAGCCCAAAAATTCTGGCCCAAGCTTCCTCTCCCTGAAATTAAGTGGCAGCATTATAAAGTCCACGATAAAAAAGCTATAATCCCTCTAGTTGGAACTACAACAACTTATGGCAATGCTGATGGGAGTACAATCATTGCATCATGCTCAGAAGGTATATGAATTCATCGTGTCATATTATTTGCTTTAGATTTTTCTGAAGTATTTTTGTTCATCTTGAGTGGATTGCCAATTTCTTTATTTTTCAGGGACCAATATCACACTTTGGCATGGGACACTGGGAAGATTGTAGGGAATGTTGATGCAAATCAGCTCAAAAACACCATGACAGCGATATCTCAAAATGGGCGTTTCATTGCAGCTGCAACTTTTATCGATGATGTGAAGGTGATTCTTTAATATTTGTGGATAATTTGTTGCATGAGGTTTTCACATTGATAGTGTGCTTTTTTTTAACCAAATAGTAGAAAAAGAAGAGTCGTGGAATAGTTACATATGCCCATTTGCTCAATTGCTTGAGTATCATGCCCTGGCTCTAGTAGGACGGGGTTGAGGGCTTGAGTCTTATAGAAATTTGCAAAGCCAAGTTTGGCTTAGGGTAAGATCTGTATTGGGTTAGCGCCATCCATCCTTACCCAATTATGAGGCTTTCTTGCACTAATGCCCAATTATCTTGATTTATGGTAATGACCCCTTCTCATATATGTATATTCAATTTTATTTCATTCAAGGCCTAATTAATTTCTTAGGTTATAGTTTTCTTATATATTAGCTTTCCATTTATATATTCCAATAACTAGACTGTCACTACAAATTAGATGACATAAGACTTCAATCTTTGGTTCTCCTTTAATGAGGGATCATAATTCAATAGTGCGAGTTCTAGATACGAGGAATTATAGCTTCAAATGCTATATCAAACAAAAAGAAAACAATACATGCACATGGAAAGTTTTATCTTATTGTTTCTAGCTTGATATACATTGCATATATTTTTTTTCCCCAGAACATTGAGGGTTTATTCTTCAATATTTTAAGTTGAAATTTTGGGTTCAAAATTCATGCACCAAGTTGATGTTATATGTGTTCATATTGACGCACCTGATTTTATGCCTCTACCCATGTGAATTGAAGTCTCACATGAGGGATTGTGTCAAGAGCTTGATGTATATATTGCATCAATTCCTTTAATAGCTTAAACTTTTAGAGTTTTAATAGTCTAACACTAAAATGTGAATGATTGCAAAGAGAATTGGAAACAAAATTCAAATATTTCAACAAATATTCTAGGGAATCTAATAATTGCAAAATTTTGTAGCTTTACCTTTTTTGCCGTATGTTTTCATATCTTTGACCTTTCATATAGGAATGAGTGATAATTTGAAGGTCACCACAAAGCTAAGATAACAAGCCGCAAATCCTAAACTAGAGAGGAGGGAGAGAGAGAGAATAAAACCGGGATTCAAAGGGAATCTTAACGATTAATCCATGAAATGCATTGTTGTGGGTGGGTGGTAGAAGTGGGGTTAACAAAGAATTAAAGAAAAAAGAGTTTTGATTCATGAGTTTTTGTTTGTATTTGACACTTATCCTATCTGAATTTTTGTAGATTGTATTAGTGTATGGTAGTATATTTGCACATTTTTTGTGTGCATATTTGTGTATTAGTGTGTTTTGGTTTATTAATGTTTGTTTTTTGGTGCATTAGTGTGTTTGTCTGATGTATTAGTGTATATGTGTGCGTCTTTGGTGTATTAGTGTTCCTATGTGTATATTTTGGTGAATTTATATGTGTGTTTTTTGGGTGTATTATAGTGTGTGGTGTGTGTGTGTGTTTTGATGTATTAGTGTGTATGTATTTTTAATATATAATATATGTGTTTTGATGTATTTGCATATTTGTGTATGTTTATTTAGTGTATTAGAGCATCTTTAACCATGACTCAAATTTTCAGTCAAATTTAAATTAACATTTGAGTAAAAAGCTTGATTTGATACAAATGGTTCTAATGGACTCAAATTTAAATGAGGGCAAATCCAAATTTAAAAGAGTACAAAGATGACCATTGGATCTTTAAAAGATGATGAAATCTCACAATTAAATATTTGATTAAAGATTTGAGTCTCCATTGATCTGAGTAAAAAAATGAGTCTCTCTTGATTTGGTATAAGTTTGAGTCAAATGTTAGAGTAAGTTTTTTGGACTTTTTTACTTAAATTTAAATTTGAATCTAAATTTGAGTCAGAGCTGGAAATGCACTTAGTATGAGTTTTTAGTGTTTTAGCTGGTGAGGGGGTGTATTGGTATATTAGTGTGTGTATGTGTCTGTTTTGGTGTATAGGTCTATATTTTTGATGTGTTAGTGTGTGTGTGTTTTGATGTATTATTGTGTGTATGTGTAGTTTGATGTATTAGTATGTGTGTGTGTTTTTGATGTATCGGTGTATGTTTGTGTGTTTGTTATGATATATTAGCGTGTGTTGGTATATTAGTGGAGATGTGTGTTTCTTTTGGTGTATAGGTCTATATTTTTAATATGTTAGTGTGTGTTTTGGTGTATTATTGTGCGTATATGTAGTTTGACGTATTAGTGTGTGTGTATTTTTGATGTATTGGTGTATGTTTGTGTGTTTGTGATGATATATTAGTGTGTGTTGGTGTATTAGTGGGTGTATGTGTTTTGGAGTATTAGTGTGTGGTCGTGTGTGTGTTTGTGTTTCAACTTTTTAGTATATGCATTTTTGTGTATTTGTTTGTTTCAATATGTTAGTGTGTGCATTTTTGTGTGTCTTTGTGTTTGTTTCGATGTATTAGAGTGTGTATGGTTGTGTGTTTGGTGTATTAGTGTGTGTATGTGTTTGTTTATTTTGTATTTTTTTGGTGTATTATTGTGTGTGTGTTTTGAGTATTAGTGTGTGTGTGTTTTGATGTATTAGTGTTTATATTTTTGTGTATTTTAGTATTTTTGTGTGTATTTCGGTGTGTTGGAGTTTACATTTTTGTGTGTGCATTTATTTTGTGTTTAGGTGTATTAGTGTGTGTGTTTTAGTGCATTAGTGTGTTAGTATTTTTTTAATGTATTAGTCAAGGATCAAAATATAATTTCGTCGCATTACTTCGGTCATCTAAAAAATAGAAACATTTTAGAAATATACTGATTCGTTGATCTCCTTGGAAACGAAAATGTTTTGATCATTTCAAAACGATATTTTGATCCTTGGTATTAGTATGTGTTTTGGTGTAATAGTTTGTGTTTTTTTTTGTGTGTATTAGTGTGTGTTTTATGAATCAGTGTGTGTTTATAGAAGAGTTGACTATTTTCCAGCGTAATGGGTTTAACCTATTGTATTATTATCCAATCTATTGTACACTTTTATAAAGCAGGATGAAAATGGATTGAATACATATTTCACCAATATTTGTTTGTTTCAGGCAATGCGCGATATTTTATTTCATCACCACCACATAGAGAAGGTAGATTCACTTGTTTTTGTCTACGATTTGTTTTTGTTCTATTTTGGATTAAAGTGTGTTTGGTATTGGGCCTAAAATTTGACCGTCCCAGTAACATGTTGCCGCCTTCTTTCTTTCTCCTCCTCACATTCTCCTTTTAGTTTTTGTGTTTTGGTTTTAGTTGTTAAACGATCAGAGCTTGCTTTAACTGCTAAAAAATTCCCGGACAAGGACATCAATATTTGTGTCAAATGCTGTTTTTCATAAAGGGTTGATCCGACCTGCATCTCCCCATCCAAAAACGTCCTTATTTTCTCAAACCTAAGTCTTGTTTCATCCGTTATATGTTTGATGGTTATTCCGCTGTTGCTCTACCAAACACATCCTTCCGCTGTAATGCACAGGGTTTTGTTTAAGACTGCAGGAATGATGTTGCACAGTGATCTACGAGGCATTGATTTTCCATTGGTTCAATATTAACTAGAAGTCATTTCCTGTTGCCTTACCTCAATTATCCTACAGTAAACTGATTTCTTCTTGGTGTTACGGTGTTTATTGAGCTTGTTTACCAAGAGGAAAGATCGGAGAGGTTTTCCAAGAGCAGGTGATGCCGCAGCCAACAGTTTAACCACCAACCATAAATGTTTGTGACATGCAGAGACGAGTTTCACAAATAAAAGACAGTTTTTGAAGGAGATTGGTATCTTTCTTTAGTGACATCTTTTTCCTTGAAATAGCATGATCACATTGTTCTTTCTTGTTCTTGAACAACATCAATTTCAAAGGGATCTTCTTTGAAGTTTTTCAAAATTAGTGACATCTACTCAACTTGGGTCTCGCCTTTCTTTCTGGTTCCTTGAAATTATTGCTGTTAAAGATAATGCTTCACATTATAGTCTGAAGACTACCGTGTTGATTTATATCCCAGCGAATGAAACTCACCCATGGTAAGAGTGATGCCTTCTTTCAAAGACATGTTCTTTCTATGTTAAAACTAACTCTCTCAATTCTGTTTGTTTTTTCTCTTTAGGTTGTGATTTAAGTTTATCCAAAATTAATATTTTGTTGGTTTAGAAGCTCTCTCTCTATTTCCCTTGGCTGCAATTCTGGCCAAAGACATAATTAGCAGCTCAGGGTTGGATAACGTGGGTTTCCCAAGGGCATAAGTTGATTTGGATTGTTTTATCTTCTTTACCTTCGGTTGCTAATAGCTGCAAGCTTAGGTAGTGATGTCAAAAAGCCCCATGAACTCAGGAATTTGCTGATGTTGTCATAATATGTACAAATCTTTGATGAGAAAAAAAACTGGTTCACATTATCATGTTGTTTGATTGTCATCTTCAATTTCTTTCTCCAGGTCTGTTGCTGTCGTGAAGCAAAGAATATGGTATGTCTAAATGGTCACTGCTAATCATAGGTTCTTATCTGTCATTGAGAGGAACGAGTAGGACCAATATTTTTGTTTTTGTAAAGTCATTCTATAACTTGAAGTGATATTATTTGGGTTTCAAATAGACTGTTTTATATCATTTAATATTGAGTTTCCTCTCTCTCCCCCTCTCTCCCTCTCATTCAGTTTTATTTATTTGATCATCTTTGTATTTCGTAGTTCTTAGGCAATATTAAACCCAAACAAATTTTTTTTTGAAGCTGTTTATTAATTAGTCACATCTACGCAACTGATTTTTTTTTTTTTGGTGTCACAACTTTCTTTCCGGTTTCATGGAGGAAATACTTTTCAAGATTAATGTTTCATAGTAGCCTATGAATGCTGCAGAGTTGATAAATATGTGAGTGATTCATTTTATTAAACTCAACCTTGGAAGAACTATTTTTTGAAGGTATGTCCTTTATATGTTTAAATCACCATTGTTTCAACTGTTCTTCTTTTTCTCCTCAGATTGTGACCTAAGATGATCCAAAAATTATTTTTGCCGGACTAGAAGCCCCTTCTCTACTTCCCTGGGCCATCTAGACTGAGACATGATTGGGGACTCAGGGTTGGATAGACAGAGTTTCCCATGGGCATAAGTTGATTTTTCATTCTTTATCTTCTTTCCTTCGAATGCCAATATGCTAAACACAGGTAGTATGGTCAAGAAGCATCATAATTTACTCGAATCTTTGATTAAAAAATCTCAAAACCCCAACTAGTTCACATTATATTTTAATTTGATTGTGTTGTTTATTTTTTTTCACTTGAGGTCAGGTTCTGTGGTGCAACAAAAAGACTTCAACACGTGGTGTATCAAAGTGATCAAGGCTGACCAAATGTTTTTTTTCTTTATAATTGAAAGGAACGAATTGTGGAACAATTTAATGTTTGGAGTTGTAACTTTGGGTATGCTTTGTAGCAAGAGACAATCTATCAGTTCCTGTGATTCTGCTGTTTATGAAGAAGCATCTAGTGCCTCAATTCTGTAAAGCTCTCTCTCTGTCTGTCTCAATTCTGTATGTTCTCTCTCTCTTTCCCTCAAAATTTTTTATGTTGATCAGCTTTGTGGTACTTTTGTTTTTGTTTTGTTATAATAAAATCTCTTGTTTGATCAATTTTGTTTAGTCAGATTTTTCCTTACAGTTGTTTATCAAATTAACTTTATCACACCTTTCGTGCATGTTTCTTCAACCGAATCTTTCTTTGAAGCAATTCAATTAGTCCCATCTATTCAACTTATATTGTTGGCTCACATCTTTCCTTCCCATTTCTTGAAGTTCAAGCCTAATGTTGCAATGTTAATACATGTGTACTTTACTTTATCAGACTTGTGCATGGAATTAAAGGTAAGAATTGCAAGGGTTACATGAATTCATTATTTCATTTCTATTCTTTTTTTTCTCCTTCTATTGTGATTTAACGTGATCCAAAATCGAATTTTTTTACCAGGTTAGAAGCTTTGCCAAAATGCTGCAACCTGAGGTAGTAAGGTCTCTTATTTTGTGAGTTTCCTCTCTTGCTTTCTCTTTCTCATATTTTGTTTTTATGCTTTTATAATGAAAATTTTATTCAATCATCTTTGTTTGGTTGCATTGCTCTTTAAATTTTTTTTAATCAGATATAAAACGATCACATGTTTCTTTCTTGTTCTTAAAAATAATAACCCCAAAGAAATCTTTATTTGAAGTTGTTTATTTATTAGTCACATATACTCTACTAATTCTTTTTTGTCATATCTTTCTTTCTGGTTTCTTGGAGTTACTACTGTTCAAAAACACCATATGGCAACGATATCTCCAAATTGGTGTTTTATTGCAGCTGCAGCTTTTACTGATGATGTGAAGGTGATTCTTGAATATTTGAGGACAATTTGTTGCATGAGGTTTTCACATTGATATTATGCCTTTTTTTTTATTATCAAATAGCAGAAAAATGAGTTTTGGAACATTTACATATGCCCATTGGCTCAATTGATTGAATATCATGCCCTGCCCCTAGTAGGATGGGTTTGAGGGCTTGAGTCTTATAGAAATTTGCAAAGCCAAGCTTGGCTTAGGCTAAGATTTGTATCGGGTTAGCTTCATCCATCCTTTACCCAATTATGAGGCTTTCTTGTCCTAATGCCCAATTATCTTGATTTATGGTAATAATCCCTTCTCACATATGGTTATTCAATTTCATTTCATTCAATGGATAATTATTGTCTTAGGATATAGCTTTCTTACGTATCAACTTTCCATTTGTAGATTCCAAGTTTCCAACAACAAAACAATCACTAAAAATTAGATGTCATAAGCATTTCAATCTTTAGTTCTCCTTCAATGAGGGATCACAATACTATAGTGCGAGGGACTATCTCCACTGCAAACTTTCAAAAGATTTATATAGACTACAACATAAGTGATCCCATATATGACATCTCGGTGAAGTTTCTTGTTGGCTCTAGTTGTTCCATTCTAGAGACGAGGAATTATAGCTTCAAATGTTGTTTCGAACAAAAAGAAAACACGCGCTTGGAAAGTTTCATCTTATTGTTACTAGTTTGATATACATTGCATATTTTTTTTCCCAGAATATTGAGGGTTTATTCTTGAATAGATTAAGTTTACGAACAATTACTTATCAATTACACTATTTGATAAACTACCTTGAAGTTTTGGGTTCAAGTCTCCATATCAACGTATTTGTAGTGTGTTTGTGCAAATTCATGCACCAAGTTCATGTTTTATGTGTACATATTGGCGCACCTAATTTGATGCCTCTACCCACGTGAATGGATTGTGGAATTCTTACATGAGGAAGTGTGTCAAGAGATTGGTGTATATATATTGCACCAATTCCTTTAATATCTTAAACTTTTAGAGTTTTTAATAGTCTAACACTTAAATATGAATGACTGCAAAGAGAATTGGAAACAAAATTCAAATATTTCAACCGATACTCTAGGGAATCTAATAATTGCAAAATTTTGTAGCTTTAACATTTTTTTGCAGTATGTTTTCATATTTTTTACCTTCCATAAAGGAATGAGTGATAATTTGAAGGTCATCACAAAGCTAAGATACCAAAACCCAAATCCTAAAGATAGAGTATAAAACTAGGATTCAAAGAAAATTTGAACGATCAGACCCATGAAATGCATTGTTGTGGGTGGGTGGTAGGACTGGGGTTGACAAAGAATCAAAGAAAAAAGAGTTTTGAGCCATGAGTTTTTGTTTGTACTTGAGATTTATCCTATTTGAATTTTGTAGATTGTATTAGTGTGTGGTAGTATATTTGCACTTTTTTTTGTGTATTAGTGTATTTTGGTTTGTTAGTGTGTGTGCTTTTGTTGTATTAGTGCATGTGTGTGATTTGGTGTATTAGTGCAAATTTGTGTCTGTGGTGTATTAGTGTCCCTATGTGCATATTTTGGTGCATTTATATACTTGTGTGTTGGGGTGTATTATAGTGTGTATGTGTTGATGTATTAGTGTATGTATTTTCAGTGTATTAATGTATGTGTTTTGATGTATTGGCATATTAGTATGTATTTTAGTGTATTAGCAGGTGAGGGGGTTGTATTGGTAAATTAGTATGTGTATGTGTTAGCTTTGGTGTATAGGTCTGTATTTTTGATGTGTTAGTGTGTGTATTGTATTAGTGTGTGTGTATGTTTTGGTGTATTATTGTGCATATGTGTAGTTTGGTGTACATATATATGTGTGTTTTTTGAGTATGTTTGTGTGTGTTATGATATATTAGTATGTATATGTTGGTGTATTAGTGGGGGTTTGTGTATTTTGGAGTATTAATATGTGTGTTTGTGTTTCAGATTATTAGTGTATGTATTTTTGTGTATTTTAGTATTTGTTTGTTTCGATATATTAGTGTGTGCATTTTTATGTCTTTATGTTTGTTTCGGTGTATTAGTGTCTATGGGTGTGCGTGTTTGATGTATAAGTGTGTGTATGTATTTGTTTATTGTGTATTTTTTTTGGTGTATGATTGTGGCTGTGTTTTGAGTATTAGTGTGTCTGTGTTTTGATGTATTATTAGTTATATTTTTTTGTATTTTAGTATTTTTGTGTGTGTGGTTCGGTGGGTTAGAGTTTACATTTTTTTGTTTATTTTTTCGTGTGCGCGCATTTTTTTTGTGTTTTGGTGTATTAATTTTTGGTGCATTAGTGTGTTTTTGTGTTAGTTTGTACTTTTTGATGTATTAGTCAAGGATCAAAATATCGTTTCGGCGCATTGTTTCAGTCACCCAAATAAAAGAAGTGTTTTGGAAACATAATATAAACGAATAAAAAATTTAGAAATTTATTTTAAAAACATTTCAAAGTATTGGTTTAAATATATCTAAACATCTTGAAACACCTCGAAACATTCCAAAATATTGGTGGAAATATTGATTGTCTTGATTGATCTATTTAAATATGGGTGATTTATTGAAACAAAGATCAAACTGAAGGCTGGAATATGTTCCAATCTGTAATTGGAAGGAATGATAGAGACCATTTTTCGTTTGTTAGCTGAAAGTCAATCTATAACTTGAAATGACTTAGTTTGGGTTCCAAATAAGCTTTAGCATTATTAATCACTTCATTCCAAGTGGAATGGAATGAATGATTTAGGAGTATGTGGATTATCAAAATTTTTGTTTTTGTTTTTGTTTCTGGTTTAAGTTTTTTTTTTTGCTGGATGAATTTCAAGAATTGGATGTCATTTTCTTAGTGTGGAACTCCATGAAAAAAATTGTCCAAAAGTGCCTGCAGATGTTTGTTACTGCTTCCACTAGAAGTGTTGAGATACCACAGGATATGCTTTTAGAAAAATTTATGCAGTTGTTCATGATTAAATATGTTGTTCTGAATTCAAATATTTGTGATGGATATGTAAACTAAAGTTGGAGCATAATCATGGTTTGAAAAACAACCATCATAATCATGGTTTGAAAAACAACCATCTCATATTTATAAAAGCTACTTTTCAGTTTTCAATTGTAATGACAGAGCACCCAAAACACAAAATTTGACCATCCCCGTAACGTGTCGCTTTCTTCTTTCTTTCTCCTCTTCACGTTCCCCTTTTAGTTTTTTTTTTTTTTTTTGGGTTTTGGCTTTAGTTGTGAAGTGATTAGAGCTTGCTTTAACTGTTACAAAATCCTAGACTAGGACATCCGTTTATGTGTCAAATGCTGTTTTTCATAAACCCGACCTCCATCTGCCCATCCAAAAACGTCCTTATTTTCTCAAACCTAAGTCTTGTTTCATCCGTTATGTGTTTGATAGTTATTCCACTGTTGCTCTACCAAACACATCCTTCTGCTGTAATGCACAGGGTTTTGTTCAAGACTGCAGGAATGATGTTGCACAGTGATCTAAGAGGCATTGATTTTCCATTGGTTCAATATTAACTAGAAGTCATTTCCTGTTGCCTTACCTCGATTATCCTACAGTAAACTGATTGCTTCTTGGTGTTGCGGTGTTTATTGAGCTTGTTTACCAAGAGGAAAGATTGTAGAGGTTTTCCAAGAGAAGGTGATGCCACAGACAATAGTTTAACCACCAACCATAAATGTTTGTGATATTCAGAGACGAATTTCACAAATAAAAGACAGTTTTTGAAGGAGATTGGTATCTTTCTTTAGTGACATCTTTTTCCTTGAAATAGCATGATCACATTGTTCTTTCTTGTTCTTGAACAATATCAATTTCAAAGGGATCTTCTTTGAAGCTTTTCAAAATTAGTGACATCTACTCAACTTGGGTCACGCCTTTCTTTCTGGTTCCTTGAAATTATTGCTGTTAAAGATAATGTTTCACATTATAGTCTGAAGATTACCGTGTAGATTTATATTCCAGCGAATGAAACTCACCCACGGTAAGAGTGATACCTTTTTTCAAAGACATGCTCTTTCTATGTTAAAACTAACTTTTTCAATTCTGTTTTTTTTTTTCTCATTAGGTTGTGATCCAAAATTAATATTTTGTCGGTTTATAAGCTCTCTCTCTATTTCCCTTGGCCTCCATTCTGGCCAAAGACATAATTGGCAACTCAGGGTTGGATAATGTGGGTTTCCCAAGGGCATAAGTTGATTTGGAGTGTTTTATCTTCTTTACCTTCGGTTGCTAATAGCTGCAAGCTCAGGTAGTGATGTCAAAAAGCCCCATGAACTTGAATTTGCAGGTGTTGTCATAATATGTACAAATCTTTGATGAGAAAAAAAACTGGTTCACATTATCTTATTGTTTGATTGTCATCTTCAATTTCTTTCTCCAGGTCTGTTGCTACCGTGAAGCAAAGAATATGGTATGCCTAAATGATCACTGCTTATCATAGGTTCTTATCTGTCATTGAGAGGAACGAGCAGGACCAATATTTTTGTTTATGTAAAGTCATTTTATAACTTGAAGTGATATTATTTGGGTTCCAAAATAGACTGTTTTATATCATTTAATATTGAGTTTCCTCTCTCTCCCCCTCTCTTCCTCTCATTCGGTTTTATTTATTTGATCATCTTTGTTTTTTGTAGTTAGGCAATATTAAACCCAAACAAATTTTTTTTTGAAGCTGTTTATTAATCAGTCACATCTACACAACTGATTTTTTTTGTGTCACAACTTTCTTTCTGGTTTCATGGAGTAAATACTTTTCAAGATTAATGCTTCATCGTAGCCTATGAATGCTGCAGAGTTGATTTATATGTGAGTGATTCATTTTATTAAACTCAACCTTGGAAAGAATTATTTTTTGAAGGTATGTCCTTTATATGTTTAAATCACCATTGTTTCAACTGTTCTTCTTTTTCTCCTCAGTCCTGTGATTCTGCTGTTTATGAAGAAGCATCTAGTGCCTCAATTCTGTAAAGTTCTCTCTCCCTCTGTCTCATTTCTGTAAGTCCTCTCTCTCTCTTTCTCTCATAATTTTTCCTGTTGATCTTCTTGGTGGTACTTCTGTTTTTATTCTGTTATAATAAAATCTCTTGTTTGATCAATTTTGTTTTGTCAGATTTTTCCTTACAGTTGTTTATCAAATTAACTTTATCACATCTTTCGCGCATGTTTCTTCGACCAACTCTTTCTTTGAAGCCTTTCAATTAGTCCCATCTACATGAATTCATTATTTCATTTCCGTTCTTTCTTGTCTCCTTCTATTGTGAATTAACGTGATCCAAAATCGAATTTTTGTACCAGGTTAGAAGCTTTGCCAAATGCTGCAACCTGAGGTAGTAAGGTCTCTTTTATTTTGTTTGAAAAAAAATTCGAAACTTCAACTAGTACACATTATCTTATAATTTTGTTGTTTTGTTTGGTTGCCTTAGTTACTGACCAGGTGCTTATTTGAAACAAAGATCAAATGAAGGCTGATTCCCATTCATATGTTCTCCTCCGTCATTGGGAGGAATGAGTGGATGTGTTTATTTTATTTGGTAAAATTCACTCTATGATTTGAAATGGTTTTGTCTGCGTTCCAAATAAGCTTAAAATTACTAAGCACTTCATTCCAAGTAAATGGCAAGAAGCATAAATAGGGGTAGTTTTGAAAATGTGGAGGATTTAAATGATGTTTCTGGATTAAGTTTTGTTTGTTTTGGTGGATCAATTTCAGGAATTGAAAAACCTTTTTTTAGAGTGGCAGCCATGAAAAAGAAATTTGTGTGTCTAGAGACGTTTATTACTGTTGCAAATCAAAGTGTTGAGATAGTAGGGGATATAATTTTAGATAAATTTCTGTTGTTGTTCACGATAGACTGGTGCAGAACTAAATCATGGTTGGAAAAATGACCCACCTTACATTTACATAAGCTACTTACCATTTTTCAATTGTAATAACTGAGCACACAAAACACAAGAAATCTGGACATCTGTGTACTGTACGACCTTTTTCCTTAACAAAGGAGAAGTTTGGGAAACCATGAGGCCCCACTCAAACTAGCTGCTTTGTCACCTTATAAAGAAGCATTTTTTTCCATTTGAAAAATGTCCACTAGCCCTGTGCTGGTGCAGAACAAACTTGATAAGATCAATAAGATTCAAAATCCATTGAATCCTCCCATAGGTAGACTACTGACCTTTAACCTCTTCGATTGATTAAGTTGAGACAAGCAAGCAAACCATGTATGACTTTTAAATGGGGGTTAGACACTAGTCCTTCAAAAGACTACACCAAAGCTGAAACTGGCACCTGAGAAATTCCAACACATTATTATTTCCTGCCGGTTATGATCTTAGATTGAAAAATCAAAATCATGAACTAGCCCTGTTGATCTACAACAAAGTGGCTGACTCTTTAGCTAACTTCGGCTGCGATTCTTAGTTTGACCATTGGTTTTCCTCTACAACTGATCTTCCTCAACAAATTAAGGATTGTTTATGGTCTCCACTTTTCCCTGTTAGTAATGTTTTTTGATTTTGGTCTTAGTGGTTAAGCGATTAGAGCTTGCTTTGTGTGGTACAAAATTCTAGACTGCTCATTCACTTAGAGCTGAACTCTTGGTTCCTGTGTTAAAGATCGTCCCATGGGAAATCCTCTTAAGTCAGCAATAACAGCCATTCTTTAGTTAGTAAATTTCCATGACGAGAAGTTTGCACTAATTCAAACAATGCTGAAAAGGTGGGTGGGAGGGACCATTGTATCCATAATGTCTCAAGTGAAAGAATTCTGTTCTAGTTTTGAAAAGAGGCATAATTATAGCCTGTAAGTTCCCCTTGGTTCTCCTAGCATTATGGCATGATCGTTTAGATATAAATTTTGGTTAGAATTTTTGGATTAACATGTCACTATCGGGTTTTTCCATTGGACATTGCCCAAGCGTATGTCCATACGCATGTACAATAGAAAATGCTGTTGGCTGTGGTTAATGTATTTTAAACATTCGTTTTGTACAGCATTTTGAAATTCTGTCATTTAAGGAAAGTTAATTTACTATCATTAGACTTGTGTCTTCGATCAACTTAAATCTTCATCAGGTTCTAGATAGAAATGTTAGTAGTTTAGATTTGTTTGGATTGTCTAGACATGACCTTTTTCGCATTTAGATTTTTGCAGTGCTCAGTGTAACAAATCAGCTTTTAATACTTTGCAATCCCTTTTAACAGGTGATTTACTTTGATGAAGGTCGGAAGTTTGACAAGGATATCACTGTTGGCCTTATTAGCAGTGAATTGCTGAACCTTGCGGAGTATAATGTTCACATGGCAAAGCTTCTTGACGTGGGAAGGAATAGTATGTACGATCAACACCTGATTTTACAAAGTAACAGTAGAAGAATTGACTCAACTATCTGGTCGCAAGTATTTTGCAGAAGCGGCTAGTGAATTTTCCATATCCCTCATACAATCCTTTGGTGATTAACGATTCTAGGGCCATATCGAAACTTCATAATCTTGTTGATGCACTGGCAAAGGTTTATTCTAATTCATATTGTGTGAGCAAGTGCACTTACTCTTACCACTCTGGTCTCTGAATGATTTTAGACGTGCAGCTTGCGCCAAGACCTGGTTCTCCTGAGTCATTACAACAGCTGGTTGAGATTGCCAGGAACCCTACTGCTAGTGCCGCTGCTTTGTCTGGCATAACTGTTGGCAAGGAGGATACTAATGCTCAATCTAGAAATGAGAAGGTTAGCATAATTGCTACTATTCTATCCTTGATTAGGTGCCTTAGTGAGTTCTGTGAATCCTAACAATTCAATTTTGGCTGGAATAGGCAACTGGACAGTCTCTAGCAGGTTGGGAAGACTACGATGTTGCAGATTTGTTTGAACCAGATCCTGCTGGTTTTGAGCAGGTTGCACATAAAACTTATTCTTCTCGATACCATTCATGATTCTAAAGCTGTAGTCTGGATTAGTTTTGTATTGGTACTTATGAGGGAACTTGAGACTGGACAAGAACAGTGTTGTGTAGCTGACACTAGCTTTAAATTTCGTGGCACAAATGATGCAGCTTGTGACCACTATGTCTTAAAGTTGCAGTGGAGTGGACTGCTGAAAGGGGGGATGATATGTCAGATTGCTTTTTCAGCCATCTCATGGTGGCTTTTCTCCTCTGATGTTATGCATAAATTGTTATTTCCAATTTACCTGATAGCGGTCAAAAAATGAGGAAGAAAGAGACTTAAATTCACCTCATACTTTTTGTTTCAGGAACTTTCTGTATCACATTGCCTTTCTTCCTGGGTGATTAGTTCCAGCCCTCACCAATTGCACCACCAATTACAGCCACTATCTGTCCTTGCTATTGATATTTATGCGAAACTTGTCTTCTCCATTGTGAAGGTTGATGTTTTTGCCTCTAGATTATGTTATTTGGTTTGCTTGAATTTTTATAATGTATTTCATTGTCTTGACTTTCTTCTTAAAATTTTCCAGTTCTGTCATGCAGACCAAGGATCAAGTAAACTATATCTTGTGCACAAGGTTTTAGTCCCAATTGAAAAGTTCTTTAATTTGCTGGTTTGTTACCTGGAAACTGTCATTTTCCTAGATTGATGACGTACTTGGTTTTACTACAGGTTTTGGCATTGTCACTGAAATTTATTCAGAGAGATGCGGAGGAGAAGAAAGCATCTTTTAATCCAAGGCCATATTTCAGATTATTCATCACCCGCTGTTGGATTTGATTTCCCTGGATCATGTGTTTGATGGTGCAAGCTTTCAGGTATGGGGCTACGCATTTACGTTGTCCTTTTTTATTTAGTCGGTAACTAATTATTACTATGTTTGTTTAGGTTCTGACATCTTTAGCCAATGCATTTCATGCCTTACAGCCCCTTAAAGTTCCTGGATTCAGGTCAGTATGATAAAAATACTTCATTGCTATGTGGTGGGATGCAGCATTACATGTTTTTTAATCCACAATTGAATTTTGGTTGGAATAACTATTGACCTTGCCCATAGTTAGCGGCAATGCCAGAGGTGCTGCTTTTCTTTCATGAATTGAAAGATGATTTTGCATGGCTACCTGTGCAAAATTTGCTATTACACATACTTCTTCAAGTCAGTGAACTGTTGTGTTTGATACTGTATCCGATATTGGTTTTTAGATCGGCACACTGATGAAAATTGTTTTTCCTATTCTTTTTGATAATTGTTGAAGTATAAATAGGAGAATCTGAGTTCGAATCTCGTCGTCACCGTAATTATTAATAGAGTTTTCATATGCTAGGCCCAAAATCTAGCTTGCACGTGAGGGGGGTATAGTGAAGTATAAATACTTAAATTACATCCTCTAACATCATAAGCTTTTGGAGGGGATGGTTGTTTAACAATAATAAAACTTGGAGCCTCAGTAAAAACGAGGTTAAGTAAAACTTATATTCTGTGTAAAGTATTCAAGCATCAAAGAGTCCAATCAGAAACAATTGGTTGCTGTCGATCATTTCTGCAGTATTAAAGATCTGAGGTGGGGAGATTTTTTTTTTTGTGGGGAAACAAGTTCTAACATCAGCTGCTTTTTTCTAACAAGTTAGAAACACATTGTGCATTACTGACTTGGTAGGTTTTTCTTCAGTTTTGCATGGCTTGAGCTGGTGAGTCGCAGAAGTTTCATGCCAAAATTGCTCACAGTAAATCATCAAAAGGGGTGGCGCTGGTTTCAACGTCTGCTGGTAGACTGGTTCCAGTTCTTGGAACCATTTTTGAGGAATGCTGGGCTAGGGGAGCCAGTATGCATCTATTTGGTGGGCATTCTTAATCTTTGCCTTCGTGGTTAGCTGCAGCTGATGGTACCTTGCTTTTCTTTTTCTTTGTGTCTGTATCCAGTTTCATTTTCTGTATAAAGGCACACTGGGTGTTGTTAGTGCTGCTTCATGATTTCCCGGAATTCCTTTGTGATCATCATTTCAGCTTCTGTGATGTCATTCCTCCAAGCTGTATTCAAATGCGAAATATAATCCTCAGTGCTTTTCCCTGCAATATGAGGCTACCAGATCCATCCACCCCAATCTTAAAGGTGTGTGATTCGTCAATTACTGCCTGTAACTCTCTGCCAGATCTGTGCCAGACACAACTAATCTCAGAAAGAAACAAGGAACACAAAATCTCATTCAAAGTTATTTGTTAGGAAATTCCAATCTTCCCCAAATAAAATTTAAAAATACATTAAAAACATTAAAAGATAAAATTATAACTCAAAATGGTGCACGTGCTACACACGTTTGCACTAACTAGTATAGATGGATATGAGAGTGGGCAAAATATAATCCTCAGTGCTTTTCCCTGCAATATGAGGCTATCAGATCCATCCACCCCAATCTTAAAGGTGTGTGATTCGTCAATTACTGCCTGTAACTCTGCCAGATTTGTGTCAGACACAACTAATCTCAGAAAGAATCAAGGAGCACAAAATCTCATTCAAAGTTATTTGTTAGGAAATTCCAATCTTCCCCAAATAAAATTTAAAAATACATTAAAAACATTAAAAGATAAAATTATAACTCAAAATGGTGCACATGCTATACACGTTTGCACTAACTAGTATAGATGGATATGAGAGTGGGCAAAAATTAATGTGAGAAAAACTTTAAAATTGAAGAATTTTTACTTATCAAATTTGTTTTAATTAGATGGTAGTAATATTACTATTTATCTCATGGAGAAATGAGTGATAATTTGAAGGTCACCACAAAGCTAAGATACCAAACCCAAAATCCTAAACTAGAGAAAGGGGGTGGACAGAGAGAGAGAGAGAATCAAATTGGGATTCAAGGGGAATCTGAACGATCAATCCCATGAAATGCATTGTTATGGTTGGGTTGTAGGAGTGGGGTTGACAAAGAATCAAAGGAAAAAAAGTTTTGAGCCGTGAGTTTTTGTTTGTACTTGAGACTTATCCTATTTGAATTTTTGTAGATTGTATTAGTGTATGGTAGTATATTTGCACATTTTTGTGTATTAGTGTGTGTTTTAGTTTATTAGTGTGAGTTTTTTGGCATATTAGTGTGCTTGTGTTGATGTATAAGTGTTCCTATGTGTATATTTTGGTGAATATATATGTGTGTGTGTGTTTGGGTGTATTATAGTGTGCATGTGTGTGTGTGTTTTGATGTATTTGCATATTTGTGTATGTTTATTCTGGTGAATTAGTATGTGTTTTTAGTGTATTAGTGGGTGCGCGGGCGGGTGGGGGGGGGGAGTATTGGTATATTGTATGTGTTTGTTTTGGTGTATAGGTCTATATTTTTGATTTGTTAGTGTGTGTTTATTGTATTAGTGTGTGTCTCTTTTGATGAATTATTGTACTTATGCGTAGCTTGGTGTATTAGTATATATGTTTGTTTTTTGGTGTATTGGTGTATGTTTGTGTGTGTTATGATATATTAGTGTGTTTGTGTATTAGTGGGTGTGTATGTATTTTGGAGTATTAATGTGTGTGTTTCAGCTTATTAATATATGTATTTTTGTGTATTTGTTTGTTTCGATATGTTAGTGTGTGCATTTTTGTGTGTTTGTGTTTGTTTTGGGATGTTAGTGTGTGCATTTTTGTGTGTCTATGTTTGTTTCGGTATATTTGAGTGTGTATGGCTGTGTGTGTTTGGTGTATTAGTGTGTGTATGTGTTTGTTTATTGTGTATTTTTTAGGTGTATTATTGTGAGTGTGTTTTTGAGTATTAATGTGTTTGTGTTTCATGTGTGTGCATTTTTTTTTGTATTTTGGTGTATTAATGTGTGTTTTTGTGTTAGTTTATATTTTTTAATGTATTAGTCGAGGTTCAAAATATTATTTCGATCATCTGAAAAATAGAAACGTTTCGAAAATATAAAATAAACAAATAAAAAATTTGAGAATTTATTTTAAAAACATTTCAAAGCATTGTAGAAACATGATTAAACAACTTGAAACATTAGAATTTTGATTCAATCACTGATTTGTTTCAGTCTCATTGAAACGAAAACGTTTTGGCCATTTCGAAACAATATTTTGATCGTTGGTAAAAGTATGTGTTTTGGTGTAATAATTTTTTTTTTGTGGGTATGTGTTTTATGGTATAGTGTGTGCTTATATAAGAGTTGACTATTTTGCGGCGTAATGGGTTTAACCTATTGTGTTATTATCCAATCCATTGTATACTTTTATAAAGTGGGTTGAAAATGGATTAAATACATATTACACTGTAACGTGTTATCAGCTCGTCCACAACCCACCCATTTGCCACCACCTTCACATAGAGAAGTCAAATTCACTTGACTTTGTCTTCACTTTTTTTCTTCTGTTTTTTATTAAATTGTGTTTGGTATTAGGCCTAATGTATTTGTTTATGATATTTCTTTATCTGCTTCAATATGACGATTTGGAGTTCTGCCTCACACTTGCATTGATATGTTCACTATTTTGGTAGGTTGTTTATTTTTTTTCATTTTATTCTGTTATAGTCTCCTCTATGATCTTGGGTTCTTCCATTTATTATGTCGCTAGATTATCTTAGACTTCTTAGTGCATTGAATGAAAACTAGGGACGGGATACTAGGATTTAAATTGATCACTTGGTATACAGATATAAAGCATTATCTCAATGATGTTTAACCGACTTCTCATTGAGCTATATAAGTTCTTGTGCGTGCCTTGGTTGTATCAATTTTGTCGTCGCAGATTATGTTGACACTGAATTTGCTACACTTCCCAAAGATATCTTTTCACAGGTTAGTTCTTTTTATATTTCCATTTTAAATGGTTGCCAATTTTTGTTATATGGAGGGATTATTAATAAGAGTTACTTGGAGAGAAAAGAAAATTTTTGAATATGGGTATCATATTTTCTGTTCAGTTTCAACAATGAGAAAAAATTGATGTAGATTACATTGGGTAGATTATTGAACTTCTTGGTGCTTAATTTATATGTCAAGTGATACTGAATGCTTATGTATAATTAGATATTCTCCATGAAAAAATGACTTCACGATAGTTTCTTTGTTTTAAGTTTTGTGAGGAGGCGGTGAATGAATGGAATCAAGACTTGAATGAGGTGACCGAGGCAAAGAAGAGGGCAGCCACAAAGGGAAGTCCATGGTTGTGACATTTAAGCAGTGCCCTAGGTATGTGAACATATTCAGCATGAAAAAATGACTTCATGATAGTTAATTTGTTTATGTTTTTTTAGGAGGCGGTGAATGAATGAAATTAAAAATTGGATGAGGTGACCGAGGCGAAGAGGACAACCACGAAGGGAAGTGCATGCTTGTGACGTTTAAGCAGTGACCTCGGTATGTGAATCCACTTCTCAAGTTCTACAGGAAAAATGTGGGTGTAGTAGTGTAGTTTCTCGCAATCCACATTTGTGTATGAATGAGGATGTAGATTGTCCTTGTTTCTAACTAGTGATATTTCATATTAGATTGTACTTTTAGGCACGGTTATTAGCTAGCCTATATAATAAAACAACTGATTTTTACTGGGCAAAGTTAGAAAAGCACAAGAATGACCCAAATTCATTCTAATTTCATCTCTTCTGATCCACTGGCCCAAATTTTGTTGCCAAAATTTTTTTGCCACCCAAAGTTACAATTTCACCCATAGCCCCTACCAACTCACGCTCTCCCAGATTCTACTGTCAATCTCCACTTTCTTTTATTGCCAGCAAACATCACTATTATCTCTAATTTGCATCTGCAGTTGCCACTCTCTCTCTCTCTCTCGCTAAGCAGCTGCTGCCCAGCCACCACTGCCTTAGCCTAACCCATTCCACCTTATCTTGTCGGCCCTATACCATATCTCTCCGTCACGGCCTAGCCACCACCACCTCAACCAATCCCACCACCTTTTCGCATGAAGCAGACCGCCAATGCCTCCCAGCTCCACAATGGTCAGACAACTCTCTCTGGTAAGGATCTAAATCCAAATCCTAATTTAATTTAGGTTGGGTTGATCGAGTATATGTTTTGCAAATAAGATGATTTCCCCCTTTTTCTTCTCTAATTTTCGAACTACTGAATTGGGTTTCCAGTTATTTTCGGTTTCCTTTTTTCTTCTATGATGTTTCAATCTATGGAATTTATGGATATACAAATACCAAAACACACATCTACGCACAGAGCACACAACACATGTACCAACACCAAATCTCCCAATGCAAAAAACCCTTCTCTGCGCACACACCCCCTGTCACCCACGCCACCCAGTCACGCATGCAGAGTTCTACCTCTTCCTATATGTATTCGCACCACCAGTGTGATGACTTGGTCACTTAAACTCATTTTTTATGCATCCAAACTTTTTCCTGTTGGATTTTTTTTTTTTTTGTATTTGTGAAGTTAGCTACGAAATCGGTGCAAATTTGGGAGTATAGAGAGTTCATCAAGAGTTTTTATCATTAGGGCCAATGATTAGTGATGGATCAGGCAGTCTATGATGTCTGGATTTTGCGTTCTCCTTAATTGCCAATAGTACCGAAGGTTTGTGCTTTGAATAGATACCCCTTTGGTGTCAACTTTATAACTTATTGTCTTTACCACCACTTTATTGATTTCAATGAATAGGTTCAGGTGCGAGTTATGACAAGAAAAAGAAGATAAAAGAAACTATTGCTTTTTTAGTTCCCTGTTGATTGGTCTTTGAACTTGGGTGACCTAATGATTTTGTGGAATTTCAAAATTTTAATCTTTGTCAAGCTCTTGAAAGAATTTTGATTATCTAATTTTGGTGTAGGCATCGGATTGAAGAGAGCAAGAACAACTAAGAACGGAAGTCATGATATTAAGGCCAATATTATTCCAGTAAGCCTCTCTTTCATTGATGTATTGCTAGAGTTGCTTGGTAGTATTTATATTTGATGTTTAGTGCTACTAGTTGTTGCACATGATTAATTGTGAATTATAATTTTTGTTTTTATGTTTTGTTTGTCTGACAAAGTGTTACTTGACACTTGACAAAGTGTTAGTTAACACTTGACTATGTTCTTAGAAAACTATGTGCAAAAGTATGCTTCCAAGAAGGATCTCACAAAAATGGTTTTTAGTGTCTTTTGCATCTCAAAACATGTTTGGGAAGAAACATGAAACTTATTTGGTCAATGACCCAAAAATAATAAACTACAAAATGTCATTTGTCTTCACTTTTTTTTTCAAAAAATAAAAGGATATGGGCCAATTATATGTCATGAGTCAACCATGCGTGTGTTGTTGATGATATGGGCCAATTATATGTTGATTTGCTTAATTTCTAAAGAATTTATCATACTTGAATCATAAATTTCATGTTGTACATAGTCACTATTTAACAAAAGTCATTAATTCTACAAACTAACACACAATCCATTCACATCATCTACATGTAACATAGAGATGCTATAGGGATTAGTTCATCAATTGATTACAAGTCTATTATACTCCCAACAAAGAGGCATTAACCTTGTTTTATGATTGCTTAAGGGTCACATGCACATCAATCATGTTCCATAAATGCATCTATTAAGAACTTTAAAGCTATTAGATTTTATGTACATTCATTGGACTATGGAATTTTTCCTTGTACTTCAGCAATATATATTAAAAAATTTCAACCAAAGCTCTCTATTTGTCAAAAGGCAATTAATTTGCCTATTATTTAGCAATACTACAAGAACATACTTATATAAAAGATAGACCTCAATGATATGCACCTCTTGCTGGTGATGAGTCTAAAAATGTGTGGCCTTAAAATCAAGATTAGGAGCAAATGTCTCAAAGTTACCAGTCACTACAGCTGGACAATACTCGTGAATCTTCACCACACCATACCTACATATGCAACAGTATATTGTACAGATTATAACTAAAACTGAGTATCTACTGATGTATTAAAGCAAATCAAGATACTCATGCATCCAAATTGGTAAACTATCGATATATATTTTAAGACACTGAGTGAGTAAGTTGTGACTTCTATTTTTTTATGACATATGGTTGCAATCACATGAGTTTATCAATTATAGAATGTCAACATCACATTATTGTTATAACACCATTTGTGCTAGCGACCTAATACACTCTCAAGGACAAAGTCTTTGATTGCAACTATGCAAATAAAGGTAATGAGTAGCCAGTGATAAATCATTTTATTTTATTTGTTCTTTCTAGAGATAAGTAGTTAGGGAATATTTCATTCCTAAATCTCTATCAATCAAATGCATTTAGTATCCAATCATCAAGGGGTAAATGGTGGATAACAATCATGGGTTTGGAATCAAACAAAATAAACTCAGAAAAAACATTTATCATAAGACCTTCTCATAGAGGTTTAGATATTATAATCAGTCAGCACAACCAACTCAAGAGGAGTTAATAGAATGAGCAATTACTAATGCATTAGTAATTTCATCTAAAATAAAATAGGTAGCCAAGATTGTGCAAACACATAACAAGATCAACTTCCCTATTTTGTGATTTTGTGTCGTTCTTTCGTGTATTTTCTCTAATCATCTGTAATGCGATCATAATTCCTTTGATACTGCTGCAATTGAATAAAATTTTCGTGAAATTCAAACAATGACGATCTATAACAGTCACATAAAATTCTAAATATCATATAAGGGAAAAAGGTTTCAAGGCTCATTTGAAGAGAGATGGATCGAATCATCTTCGTATGGTGCCAATCAAACATTCATATAATTGTGTTTAGCTATTAGAAAAGGAAATAGCTAGACAGCGGTATGAGAATATTTGTCACAATTTATCAAAAATTCGCAAAGCCTGCAGTGGACAGTATCTTGTAAAGACCTTGAACAATATTTATTTATAAATCAATGACTTAGAAAACAAAAACGCACACACACAATGATACCGCAACCTGATAAGCGACCAAAAGGTTATTCCCCAGAAGCAAAATTTTGCAAATGGGTCGACTTTAGTGGGTGGCACTGAAGCAAAACCTATGATTCTATTTACTTGGAAGTGAACGGGAGTCTTTGGAATTAAAGCCGAATTGATACTCGTGTAGAAGCCTTTGTAGCTCGATTGCATATAGGTTGCTCTTGCTTTTTGTTATGGCGTTCTGAGGAGGATTGTAGACGAGAGCATTATGACAAATTCATAATTACTGATAGAATCTATACTAACTGTTAAGTTTAGAGAGATAACATAATATTAGAGAGAAAACAGAGAGAGGTTAAAAACTTAACCTAGCTCTCATACATCACTTGTATTTATAGGTAACTCATAAACATAAGAATTACATATACACGCTCTCTTGTATTTACACATAATACCCTAACACTATTAACAATTTATATATACTACCCTAATACTCTTGACACTCCCCCTTAAGCTGGACTATATATATCATATAATTCAAGTTTGGAACAAATTTCTATAAGGCGTGTACGACTCTATGCTTTGGTAAACATCTCTGCAAGCTAATCTTCAGATTTCACAAATGAAGTCGTAATCTCTCCAACTACTATTTTGTCTCGAATAAAGTGACAATCAACCTCAATATGTTTGGTTCTCTCGTGAAGTACCGGATTGACAGCGATATAGATAGCTGTGTGGTTGTCACACAATAACTGTAAAGGAGGTTGAATTGGAAACCCAATTTCTTGAAGAAAGTGTAGCAATCACGTCAACTCACTCGTTGTATACGTCATTGTCCTATACTCAGCCTCAGCACTGGATCTTGCTACCACAGATTGTTTCTTACTTTTTCATGAGACAACGTTACTTCCTAAGAAAGTACAATAACCAGTAGTTGATCTCCGATCAGAAGGAGAAGCCAGCCAATCACCATCTGAGAAACCTTCCACTCTAAGATATCCATTAGTTTGATATAACAGTCCAAGTCCAGGGTCTCGTTTAAGATATCGTAGAATACGAGTGACTGCCTCCCAATGAGGTACTTTAGGACACCCTATGAACTGACTTACTATACCGAGTGCATAGGAAATATCTGATCGAGTAATAGTGAGATAATTAAGCTTCCCAACCAATTTGCGATATCGACCCAGATTCTCAAATAGTGCACCATCATCCATCAATAGTTTCTGATTCAGATCCATAGGCACATCAATCGGTCTACCCCCCAACAAACCTGATTTCTCTAGCATAT